ACGGGAGAAATATTTTGCACGCTGACAAGACGTTTTTTGGAAGTCGGTGACCCATTACATCCTGTATATGAGTAACACAGCATTTGATAAAAAAAAGAACATAATGCCAACAGTCAAACAGACCATCACGGTCTGGATCTACTTTGCAATTCGGGGGCCTGGGCCACTTGCTGTTTCCCAGAAAATCCTGTGGGTGAGCATCCAGCCATCAATTTGTGCCCCCAAGTGTAAGAGCTCTTGGTAAACGGGAAGTTCATACTAGAAAACCCTCTGATATGAGTGAGTCAAAAAAATTCTGTCAAGAGTCATTGGGCCCAAAATTCTTTCACAGAGATGCAAAAGTCATCTCCAGCTAGGGCTGGACAAATAATTGAAATTTAATCAGGATTTTGATTTTGGCTTCTCACGATCTTTAAAATGTGAAAATCAAAGACAAACAATTAATGTGCAGAACGGCGCTGTGCGTTTAAAAAAAAAGAAGAAAAAAAAATAATAACACCCAATTGGAGATTACTGCAAAACTAAACACACCACAAAAACAATTACACGCATTGTATATTTAAATGCAAAACATCCTCCGTTTTTAAAACATCGCTATCGCTCATGGTAAAGACAATGTAATTTCCCATTCAATTGCTAACAGGAAATTAGCATTGACTTGAAGAGTGATATTCCTTCAAAAAACACATATTCACACACAAGGCTTCTTTGAGGCTTCTTCACACTGCTATTGGAAGGTTAATTGCTGTTAGCACTCTGAAAATAGTCCGTCAGCCCCTCTCTTACTTGATGGGCCTTCCTGACATCACCACAACGCCACTCTCAAACAAGGCATTTTTTAAATTATTATTTGAATGTGTGCCGCAGGGCGACTTCATCCTGGAAATACTTAATTTTTCCTAATATTTTTTTTTATTTCAATTGGTTTAAAAAGGAGACAATGTACAGAAGGAAAAATACAGTGTCTATCAGGGGCCAGGTGGCAATCAGGAATTTCAAGAAAATATTTAAATTGTTTTGTATATCGGGCCAGTCCTGTGCATCACAAACAACCCCCCCACCCTTTCCCCACCCATCGATGGTTGCTCTGTGCGACCTGACTGCCGCACCCGGCCACGTTTCGGGGCACAACATCATCAACAACTTTTCAGCACATTATGGAGGTGTGAAGAAATTTTGTAAGGTTTTGCCAAACCCAAAACCTCAAGAAGTAAAATTGAGTTATGACTTAAAATCATATCACCACCACATATCCAGTCAGTCACACTTAATTCATCCAACGCTTTGCATACTTTAACATGCAACTCAAAGTGAATTAAAAATCAACTCCAACCCCACACCACTTGTCTACAAGAACGCAAACACACGCAAAACAAATAATAGGCAATGGAGCAACGGCCCATCTGGGGCCAGAGCAATCTACTAAACACAAATTAATACATTTCGGGAATGTAGTGTAAGTCCATTGTTCAACATTCACAAAGCTGCCCGACTAGGTTACTGGTAAAAAGCTGAACACAATCATGGATTCCAATTAGGAAATGTGCGTCCATGCCGAGATGAATGACACCAAGACAGCCAAGGTTACTATGGAAACGCATTAGCGCTAAAGCGCTATATTGCCTTGAAAACAAGCCGAGCACAGGATGAATATCAAATAAAGGATCGACGAGTGTACTTAACTACCCTGCCATAACGTCTGACAATCATGTCAAATTGTACGTTAGCAAATACACGTGAAAAAAAAGAAGTCAAGGCCTACTATGAAGGATGCTACGTCTCCACTTCCGGTGCACAACAAGCTAGCAGGTGGCAATTTCCTCCCGATCCAAATGCAAACACAAAGGCAGCACCGGGTGAACGTTAAAAGAATATTCAGTTTCATATTTGAACAAACGATAAATGACTTACGGCAGCGGTTTTTTCCCCCTCATCGACTGTGTCTCATCCCGTTTGCATCCGGTTCGCCTGTGTGCCAGTGTGTGCGCGTGCGTGCGTGTAAGCGTGTACACGTACGTGGGGCTCACGTGGGAGACGTGTGTGCGCGCGCCTGCGCGCAGCCTACAATCTCATCAGCAGCAGCAGCAAGAGTGGCGCTCGGCCGTCTCCATGGTAACACATGACCAGGACGGCCAAACTCCACACGCTTGAGACAACTTTCAATGAAACATATTATGATTATTATGTATGTTAAGCAAGGATTTTTTTTCTTTCTGTATTTCAGGAGGATGACGATGTGGTCAACCTCAATGTTTTTTTTTTTTTTTTGATTTTCATAATCTTCGAAATCGCAGGATACTGTATAACATTTTAGTGGAGACATAATCCACACTGAAAAAAAGAAAACGTAATGAACGTTAAAAAAAAGAAGTAATCCTCAAGTCAATATCCAAGCTTTACTTGATTAAAAAAAATATATTCAATTGGTGGAACCTGACATTTTTACTTTCAAGTAATGTTATTTACTGAGCCAAAGCAATGATATTATTTTTTGTTTCCCAAATTTAAAATAATTAAATTGGATGAATTACATTTAAAAAACCTTTCATTTTAACATTAAAGTGTTTTAGAAAGTTTTTTTTTTTTTTATTTGTCATAATGCTGAATTTAAACAAAAATGCTTGAAATACATTTTGAGTAATAGGCAAAGTAAGGGCAAGCCCAGAGTAGAGAGTGATACGGGAGTGAAAGTCCACTCCCGTTCCATCCAACTCCCACAGAAAAAAAATATATATATATAAATGTCCCAGTTCCACACCATAGTAAAAAAAGAAATTAATAATCCTGCTGTCCCATACCGTCCCAGTGAAAATGAGTGTCACTCCTGTCCTGCTCCCATTCAGAATTACTTTTTGGAGTTCAGCCCTCCCCCCCTCCCAAAAAAAAGAAAAACGAAAGACAACACCTCAAGTTGGATGACACAGTGGACGATTGATTAGCATGTCACAGAGGCTCTGGCCTTCTTGTGTGGAGTTTGCATGTTCTCCCCATGGGTTTTCTCCGGACGAGTAGCAACCGCGGTGCCACTGAAACAGGAAGTATGTCACAGTATCTAAGGGGGTTTCCTCAATCGCACTTACTGGTCGTGGTGAGTCCAGAGAGTGGCATTTGTGGTCGCACCGGGACTCTTTACTATAGGAGTGGGCACTGTAATGCTCCCGATTTCCACACACAATGCAAAGATCCAGCGCAATCCTCCAGTCGTATTCCTCCTGGGAGAGGCAGGTTCTGCTGACTTAGTTGCATTGGTTCTTTCCAAGGGACAGCAAGCATCTCGGCGCTTGTGTAGGGCTGGGCGACCAAAATAGGAACAGTGGCATGATTGGAAGAAGGGCGGGCAGATTTGGCGTTCTGCCGCCATTCTCTGATGAGAATGTCAATCTGAATCACTCAGGAGATTAACTGCTCAAAGAGACTTGGTTTCATCCCAAGTCAACAGCTGATGTTGGAGCACATCAGACAGTCTACAAACAAAAGCTGTCATTTGTCCAGTTTCGTTCCATCCGTTCTCAGAAGCTAGAATCCTGAGTTCAGTCGCATAGTCTGCAGCTGACTGAAAGCCATTTGACGACTGATTCATCACGGACTGATCAAAGACTGGAAGAATCTCAGAAGAGTAAGAAAAATGATTTTAATGTCTCTGACTTTTAGTCCCCCAAGGAATAGGCCCACCTCCCTGGTCTTTCCCGAACCAAGTTAATAAGAAAAAGTTGGTGCGAGCATCTAATATACACAAGGTTGCTGTTGGAAAACCAATGAACAGTTCAGAGGGAATCTGCCACCAGCTCCTACCTAACATTACCGATTGAAATGTTCAGGGTGATGGAATGTTGGGTTACCCGATGAGAAGGCGAAGCAGTATCGGGTGAGATGCTCTATCCCTGATTGGAGCTTGGGGATGGGTTGGAGCAGTTGATGACCTCTGTGAGGAAGTACTGGGTGTCTGCTGGGTTGCCACTGACTTGATGATGGTGGAAAAGTTTTGAGTATAGTCCAGAACATCCCTCAGGAGGTGCGCATGTCTGCCGAGCAGTGACGGTTGTTGGGAAAGTTTCACTGTAAGTTTCAAAGACAGTGCAAAAATCACAATCTAAAAAAAATAAAATTCTTTGATCCAAATGAAACATTTCAAATGTTGTACTTTTCTGTAAATTATGTTAGAGTCAAGAAAATCAATGTTACCATAAATATAAATTACAAAGTTGACTTGACAGAAACAAATGAGCAAAATGTACATGTATGCCAAAATAAACCAAAAAATAGGCAGTAACAAAAACAAACCAAAAAATAAATAAATAAATAAATGACAATAAAAATGAACATGAATAATGTAATCTTGAATCAACTGTCCTGGCACCTTTTTAACAAACATTTGAACATTATTAAATGTCATACAAGTGATAAAAACAAAATGAAAGCAAAATATTTTTTAAAAGTTACCGGTAAGGCCGTTAATATCAAAACACAGCCTGATTCAGTTTTTTTAAATTACTCCAGTATTTGTTTCAAAAAATAAATAATAAAATCCTCATGCCATCTCTGATAACATTCCGTGGTGGTATCAAAAATATAAAAAGAGCACATACTGTTCGATTTGACTGAGCTGAGGTGTTATGAGATTTGCTAAAGTCTCATTTGACTTCTTGCATGATGACTATTCAACCTCCAAAAACATATACGACATTTGAGGCAGGTGTTTTTAGCCGGTTCCAAAAACCTTACACCTCGTACCACATTTTGGACATTTGACTTCCTCCATCGTCTCACAAAGCGTTTTTGTGCCTTCTATATTTTCTTCCACATGAAACAAATTCTGGGGGCTGGTCCTGAGTCCATGAAAAGGATCATCTGGAAAAAAGAAAGAAGAGGGAAAAAGTGAAACAAAAAAAAAATAATAACAGTCTGCTTCTCATTATATTCAGAAACTGGTGAGTGAACATTTCATTTTGGCAGTTTTCCCCTGTAGAACTCTGGGCCAGGACTGCGCCTGAGAGTCACAACTAATGAAAGGCACTTGTAGGGGAAGAGATTGGGCCAGCCTGCTGCTTTTTCTCTCCACCGTTGGTTTTCTCTTCCCCTCCTTTTTTTCTTCTTCTTCCTGCAACTGTCAGAGAAAGGAGAGTGGGAAAATTCCTTCAAGTTACTTCAGCTTCAGGTTAACTGTGCGATTTCAACATGCACACTGAAGTTTGGGTGCACCCCGTGCTAGTGCCTCTGATTCTAATTCTGCTCTCAAGCGTGGAGGACACATTGTTGCAGTCTGTGAGGTGAGTTTTGGCATACCTTCATACTGCGCATGTAAAGATATGTTTTGTCATGTTTATATTGGCATGAATTGAGGTCCCTGGGGGGAAAGGAGGTGCAGAATTTGCTGACAAAGACAATGCAACATGCAGTGTAGAAATGTTGAAAAGTGTGCAAAGATGCTTTTTGCACGGTTTTGGTCTGTTTTTAAACTTTTCAGTCTTACTTTAAAATGCGGAGCAAGTCTTTGTTTGCAACTCTGTTGTTATTATGTAAAGCTGCAGAGAACCTTTTCAAAACATCCCACTTCATTTTGAACGTATGCATCCATATCAATACATGATTAGATCTGTTGAATTGGATTCTGTGGAGTGAGTTTTGATTTTTTTCCCATTTATTTAAATGAAAACATTTTCCTTTATCAACTTATGTTGTATTTTTACATTTAATTCTAATAATGACAACAATTTTAATTGAACACGTAGTCATTCTATTTGTTGATTTTTTGGGGGGAGAAATAATTTAATATTTTGTTCCAAATGTTTGAGTTAAATGCATGCAATGTACTTGAAAAAATAAAATGGAAACAAATCATCCATTCATTCTCTCAACTGCTTAATCCTCACAAGGGTCGCGGGTATGCTGGAAACTAGCACAGGTGACTTCGGGCAATAGGCGGTGGACACCCTGAACCGGTTGCCAGCCAATCACAGGGCACACAGAGACGAACAGCAACCAGTCACACTCATAATCACACTTAAGGACAATTTAAAGTGATCAATGTTTTTGAAATATGGGAGGGCACCGGAGTACCCGGAGAAAACCCACACAGGCACGGGGAGAACATGCAAAGTCCACACAGGAAGGACCGTTGCCCAGAACCGCGCTAACAGTCGACCACCGTGTCGCACCATGCTAATCAAACCTATGTTTTATGTTATTTATCATCTATATTAATTTATGCAATAATTTTGCACCCGCATACTAGACTGTAACTGCAATTAACATTATTGTTAGTGTCATTGTTTGTAAAAATTGTCAATTTTTTATTGGCACCTAATTACGTATACTTGCCATCAAATGCCACAGATTTTTCATACAATAATGCTTGATTTTGATAGACACTTTCAGAGAAGTATTACTTTAACAACATGATTGCTATTCGTGCTGTACTTTGGAGTACAGTGATTCCTAAAGTTTGGTATTACCAGTATATGCGTGTCCTGTAGTGGTATGCAAAAGAATCACTGAATTAAATGTTCAATCTGTGTATAATATTACAGTGGACGAAACTTTTTTTATAATCCAGTACTGTAGATTTGGGTACAGTTCAGTTGTATTTAACTTTTAAGTTCAATGCATTTGTATTCAATCTCTTGTTGATTGAACATTCATTCACGTAATTTTTTTATGTAACTTTTGTGCACAATATATTTTAATTTAATCATTATTTAAGTACAGTTTTCTTACAGTTTTCCTTTTTTTACTTTCTTATGTAATTTTCAAACTGTACATACTGTTACAGCGGCTTACAATAACATTAGAGATTCTTTTTTTTCCCCAATTTATTTTTACTGTATTTTATTGTTGGTTATTGTGGTGTCAACCATTAAAATTGAAAGTGTTCCTGTGATTGATCTCATTAAGATTGCAAAGCTGTTACTAATGTTTCTTCTCAGCTGAATGGAATGTTTACCAATTTGAGGGAAAATTTCATAATTTGCATTGTCAAGGTGTTGTGTTATCCAATGCTGTTGTATTTATTGGCAAACCCACACACACGCATTAGACGCAGGAAGCAGCAGCAGCTCTCAATTGATTTCTCCACTTTGAAAAAAAACAAAACAAAACAAAAAACAAGTACAACAATATGAGAGCCAAAGTGGGTGTGAGTCATTCATTAATGAAGGTCCTGCACTGCTAAAAACAAAAGTGAAGTGGATGGAGGTGTAGTCTTGGCAACTGAAGGAGAACAAAAGCCTGTTATTTACAATGTTGGATGCATGTGAAATCCAAAGGTGAGCTACTTGAAAAGAAAAGCAGATTAATTCATCAGTCAAATGGTATTTTGCCCAGAATCTTATTTCAGCATCTCAACAAGACATTTGGGATAACTTAGTAGTTTTGGGATTGACCTTTTCAGTCCTTCTACACCAATGTCTGCAAATGCATGCTTGTGGGAATTTTGTGTAGAACAAATTGAGACCTGTGATCTAAACTTCAGGTCATTGGTAGCTTTGTTGTCCAACCTGCTGACTTGCATGCTCTTAGCAATGGATAGATTTCCATGACTCCAAACCAAGGCCACTTGCTGTATAGGGGGTTTTGTACAGCTTACTTCTGCGGCTGGTGCGGGACACTTGACTTCCGTCACATTCTCAGTGGCTTTCATGCAAATGACATGGAGTTCTGTAGATCCCGTGTCCTCAACCCCTGGTTATTGCAAGAATAGTGATTCATTTGGCTGACATTTATGTGGCTGGTGAGGGAAAGCTTTGCATGACCCCAACCCTGCTTTACTGGTCGTGTAGTTATTCATATGGTTGACTTCGGCACCTGGTTTGCGATAAATTCCTATTAACTTAATTCCAGGTCATTGGTAGTGTAGTGGTCCACGTGGTTTTTATTATTATTCTGGCTGTTGTGAGGAATTGCATGACCTCAACTTCTGGTTGCTGGTATTGTTGTGGTTCACATAACTGACGTATGCAACTGGTGTTAATTAGACTCCCATGACCTTAAGCTCGGGTCATTGGCAGTGCAGTATTTCACATAGCTGACTTGCGATACTGCTGTTGTGTACATTCCCCTGACCGCAATTCTTTGTCACTGGCAGTTCAGTAGTTCACATAGGTGACTTGTGCATCTGGTGTAGGATACATTCACCTGATCTCAACCCTGTAATATTGGCAGTATACTGGTTCACATAACTGACTTGTGCAGCTGTCACAGGATATATGCCACTGACCACTAAACATTGGCAGTGTTAAACTCGCATCCCACTGAGGAGCGAAGGTTTACGGGTGTTTGCAACCGTAGTGAATGTCGATTTTCCATCAGGGATTCGATGAAGGTCGCAAAGGGTCTCCAGACAGTCACAAACAGTTTGAACAGTGGTAAACAGTTTTTCTCAAGTCCAATGAAATATAAAACATGTTCAAAGTACTGTAAATACATGCTACATACAGTATATTGCAAACAGGGTGGCCCGGTGGGCCAGTGGTTACCGCGTCGACCTCACAGGCCAGAGGTACCGGGTTCAATTCCAGCTCCGGCCACCCTGTGTGGAGTTTGCATGTTCTCCCCGGGCCTGTGTGGGTTTTCTCCGGGTACTCCGGTTTCCTCCCACATTCCAAAAACATGCACAGCAGGCTGATTAAACACTCTAAAATTAGCCTTCGGTGTGGGTGTGAATGTGAGCGTGGATGGTTGTTGGTCTCTGTGTGCCCTGCAATTGGCTGGCAACCAGTTCAGGGTTGTCTAGTGCCCGAAGACAGTTGGGATCGTCTCCAGCACAACCCGTGACCCTTGTGAGGATAAGCAGATCAGAAAATGGATGCATGGATATACAGTGATCCCTCGCTACTTCGCGGTTCGTTTATCGCGGGTTGAGTGCATCACGGATTTTCTCAAACATATTAAAAAAAAAAAAAATTTTTTTTTTTTTTTTTAAATATACATGGAGTACATTACTGTATATGTTGCTCTATGTGACTCACTGTTGTTTTGCACCTTCTCGCGGACCGTTTGCGGACTTTAAAAAAAAAAAAAACCTTTTTTTTTTTTTTAACCTGTTTATGTTAATTGGACGCTACTTCGCGGATTTTCGTTTATCGCGGGTGGTTTCGGTCTCCATTAACCGCGATAAACGAGGGATTACTGTGTTGCAAACAGTTTTTCTTGTTGCAAAGATTGAACATTTTCAAATGTCTCGGCTACAAGAAAAACAGTTTGCCACCATTAAAACTGTTTGCGAATGCAACCTAGAATGAGCCCTGACACAAACTCAACATACGCTACCTTCGCAAAACTCACAAACCTTCGCCACTAAGTGCAATGTGGGCTTAAGTGGGTTACAAAACTGACTTTTGTGCAAATAGCATTGGATGTACAGTATTCCCATGAACCCATTTTTTTTTTTTTTTGGTGGGGCAGTGCAGTCTTTCACAAAGCTGAATTCCTTTCTTCTCTTGGAAGATTATAAAAGATAACTTTTGGTCTTCTTTGTTGTTTATTAGCCAGGTGGCTGGCGTGTGTCGACTCTCCACTGAGTCTTCCCTGCGTCGCTGCCGGACACCCGATGGCAACATCTGCAGCGGGAGGGGCAAGTGTGACTGCGGTGTGTGCGTGTGCCAGGCGTCAGATCCAGGGAAATTCTTTGGGCCTCGCTGCGAGTGCCATGACTGGGTCTGTGCCACACACAATGAAAAAAATTGTAATGGTGCGTACACAAACATATGCAACACAAGCAAATGATTCACTAAAGTTGTCAAAAAGAGCTAGAACAGTACTTTTTGCAGGGATGGGCAACTGATTTATCACCGTTCTTTGACGAAATCTTTGGATTTACAAAAAAATAATAATAATAATAAATAAATAAATCTTTTTCCCCCAATGGATTTCACTGGGTATCAGACAAATGCAGACTTTCACTATTTGCGGGTGGCACATACTGTATTTTGTCCATATTTAAACTGGTATTTTTGTCATACATTTGGTTCCGGAAGTGTGTGGTCCTATGTGGCTTCCCAGTAGCGTGAAAAAAACGTCATGCCATCATTTAAGTTGCCCATCCCTGCAGCACCCAAACCAGAACAGTCTGGACTAGCCTGGCCTCTGTTGCTTGACCATGACAACAGGTGCCAATTGATTGGGGCAGGACCTGTGGCAGCCTCTACTGCACACTTTCAGTGTGCGTGATTCTGCCAGAAGATTTCACAAGAGTCGGGTCTCAGCCACAGTTTTTGCAGTGATTCAAAATAGCAATCATTGTTGCATTGATGTGGCGATGCTGCAAATTACAGCCCAAAAACGCACAGAAGCTTTCACACAGACAAAATAATAATAATAATCATAATAATCATCATCATCTGTAGTAAAATATTTTCGAGCACATTGTCAGGTCCATTCACTTCAATGAGAGCAGCATCTTATTCATTGGGTTGCCTAACATTAATTTGATGACCTATCCAAATTGCTGCCACCAGCACCAGTTCGACGTCGTCACATGTGGACTGTTATTTTCGAAATCGTCCATTTCAGTCGCTTTCGGCTGTGTGGCCCATTGGGCTTTGGGGAATGGTTCGATCACAATTCATACTGCAAAATCAGAAAATACATTTCTCTAAGAAATCTGAAATAGTTTTTATTCAGCTGGCTGCTTTTTGGTTCATGCCGATAGCCACAGCACTTTGCAAATAGATTAGATGATTCTCGCTGTCTAAGAATAGAAAGGAAACAAACATTCAATCATTCCTATCTGATTCGCTTATCCTCACTTGGTTTGCGCGAGTGCTGGAGCATATCTGAGCTGTCTTTGGACGAGAGGCTGGGTTCACCCTGAACTGAAGACCGGAGCCCAGAATCAAACCCATGACGTCAGCACTGTGGGGTGAGGTGCTAGCCAGTCATCCACCAATCTGCCCTGAATCAAACAATTAAATATGATCTCAGTAAAAAAAAAAACTATATCATAAAAACACCAACAACAACAACAAAACATAAACCCATGGTCTTGCCACTTTGCAGCAGTGAAAACTTGAAATCATTACTTCACCAGAGCACTTGGAGCAGGCGAAAAACACTTTGTAAACAAGCACAATATGAAGGTTTACCTATAAGAGTCCAGTGGATGTATATTGCTATATTTATATTCATATTTAGTTGATTTCAAGACATAATTATGATTAGCCGCACACATTGCAGTCAATACTAACATAGCACTGTGCAAAATGTGACTGAAACACAAGCATGCTTTTGTAACCACACACATTACGTAGTCACTGACTGTCCAGCGGTTCGGCGCAGGCAACGTGAGCTGATTTCCCACTCAGTGACAGCCTCAGTGGTTGTCTGTCTTTCAGTTCTTCGACTGACTGGGGAGCCCAAATCCGCTGGGTTAGGCTCCAATGGCACGCGAGCCTGAATAGAATAAGTGGTGTCGAAAATGGTGAATGAACTAATGTGTAGCATACCGAGTGTTGCTGCCTTTACTTTTTACTCGGCTTCCTGGGACAGTCACTGGGTGAGATGCATGGTATTTTGCTATCGAGGCCTGAATGTTTATTATACTGGATGTGAGTGTAATTACCTGAATCCAGATGTCAGGGTTGAATGGTCCAAAAGGTGCAGTTGCGTATGGGGAGCAGGTCTACAGTAATAGAGATATGAATAGAGGCTCGGGCGGCAGTTGCACGTGATGGCTTTGCGAGTGATTTATTTGGTCAGACAACATGGCTGCTGCGAGAAGCTCATTATGGTTCAGCAGTCTGGAACGATGAGGCCGGACTTCTCGGCCCCCGATAATGGGCTTTCACTCACTGCTGCACTGCTTGGCATCCGAGGAGGGATGGTGTTTCACACCTTGAAGTGCGCTCACGCACCAAAACACACTGATATGTAAAGGATCAGGCGATAGCGCAGCGACAGTCTCACAAAGGAGTGCATAGCAGAGGAGCAGAAATATTATCAAAGCACACCGAACGTAACAGATCTAAGTCTTGTCTAAGTTGTTCTCTAAAATTAGAAGCCGATTTCTCCCATTATGTTTGATGTCCTTCACGTTTTTTGAAATTGAAAAGCTCCTTTATGTGCAAGATTTTCAATGTTTCCATCTTGCAAACTCTCTAAAATGAGTTCTTTTCCTCAGTATGTTGAGTGAAGTGTAGCTTCAAAGACAGAGCTTTTGTTACTTTCTGCTTTCAGTTTGAACTCCATACTGTCCCGTTTCTTTAGGTTTAAGTGCTCGGGGGGTGTTTTTTGTTGTTCTATAAAAGCAGAGATGGAGGAGGTATTATAGGGACAAATACTGTATGGCATTCATTCACATGCAGAAATATCCATGTTCCATTTAAGGATGATTTGAGAGAATAAATACCAGTGTCAGGCATTCGGAAGGTTACGGACAGAATCGGAACCCACAAATGTATACTCAGGAAAGTTGATCTAACAAAAATCAGTTATTTCCAAAAAACAGGCAAAACAGACACTGACAGAATGTGATCATGACAACTAAGGGCTCTTTGGCATTTTAGTCCCAGGGAAAAAAAAAAATAAAATCACATGATGCAGGCATAATCCTCTAACATGTTTTTTCATTTTATTTAATTAATTTAAGTGCATGTGTGTGTGTGTGTGTGTGTGTGTGTGTGTGTGTGTGTGTGTGTGTCTGTTTTTCTTGAATGGGAACTCCCCCTTGGAGAATGTTTCTTTTCACCGTGCAGTCAGATTTATGGTGTGTTTTCATTTTATTGGAGATCAAAAAGACGAAAACTCTAATGATGACAAGAAGCATAGAAATTGTACAGATGGATTTGCACATATGGTAAACAGTGTGAACAGTTTGTTCCCTGAAAAAATGTCATAAATTCTATTATGACATAATTTACTGATAGTGGGAGAGCAGACATATTCAACTATAAACAATTTGGCTTTAGTTTTACACAATTAAGGGGTTTGGATCAGGGGCATGCATCGGGTGGACCCCGGGAATCCACCGAAATGGTGGCATCCACAGCCGCCCCAACAAAAATGTTTCAGGTCATGGCTGTCGAAGATAGTGCTTTTATGCGAATGCTGAAGGGTCACTGAGTTGGGAAAAGTTATGATCATTTTATGATGTGACAGTCTGACCCTGTTTTTACTTAAGTAAATCACTATATTGTGCAAAATTCTACCAAATTCTCATGATAACAAGCACAGCAACTTAATCATGGCCTTGACCAACATCTGCTCACCAAATGTGCAAACATGTCTCGTGATATTCTTTCCATTGTTTTTTCCCCCTCCTCCCTTTCTTCATCTTCACATCTCTTTAGAATTTGAGCAGTTATTTTTTTTCAAAGTCAGTTGTATGGAAATTGCTTACAAATTCATGATGATAACTTCAGAGTAAAAAAAGCACAACTGGAGCTATTTCACATCTTTTTGGAATAGCTTGTGCCGTTCAGGCTCAACGTGGCACAGCCTTTAAAAAAAACACCTCCCCCTCCCTTCTTCTCACTGAATAGCCACGTGAAGTCTTTTCCACTCCAAGCTGAGCAGAGTAATTTCCTCTGGTGTGTGTGTGTGTGGTGTGTGTGTGTGTGTGTGTGTGTATATATATATATATATAGTTGTCAAGCTTCTGCAGAGCTTGCTGATGAGCTGATCATTTGAATCAGATTTGTTGGAGGGGGGAAACATCTAAAACATGCAGGATAAGGGCCCACGAAGAGCTCTACATGTCTTCAAACATGTATAATGTATGTAGAAACAAATCCCTGAATTAATTTTACAGGGTCTATAATTAAGATTTGGCAGGACACTTTTTTTTCCTTGGCCCATGACCCAATCGTCAAAAGTTTCACAAAAAACAGTCTGTATTTAAGTGTCATCCTAACTCACAGCAATCAAAACATAACCTCTAGCCTCATACTTGGGCGAGGTACAGTGGTGCGACTGAAGATGAGCCAAACGGATCTCCGATCCAGAACAATGCTCATTCTTGCAACCTCTGTTCTTTTTCTGGCTGGAGCCCCCCCCCCCCCCGAGATTCCAGACCTTACTGCCAAGAGCGAGCGTGGATCCCACCCAAGGGGCATTGTGTCAGCAGCAGTACACATCAAACGCCTCCAAATGCAGTACAAGAATTACATAACTGATGTTGGGTTTTGCAACACGATGCCAGACGTGAAATAATTTGCCACCATCACTTTAGGCTACATTTCTCAAAGTGTGGTCCACGGTCCACGGGTGGCCCTCTCGAAATCCCAGGGAGTCTGCAACTTGTTGCACGTTTCCACCAAAGGAACTTTACATGAGAAGACGATTGTGCATTTAGGCCACGGGAACCATAAAACAACAGTCACAATACCCAAAAGGCTAATTTATCAGGGTCAAAAGACCCTGCCAAGAAAGTTTGGGGTAGTACAAAAGAGATCAAGCAACCGTTGTGGCGGGCTCGGCATGACTGAAAATATCGAGCTGTATTTCGCCTGAGCATCTTAGAATTCCTGCAGCGAAAATATTCCAGTCAGACATACACAGCACTAAAGAGACCACACTGTAAAGGTCCATGGACCTCTGGAAAGTACCAGCCCAGTCTAGCTGGCCTTCTAAAGTAAAATGCATTTCTAAAATAGTTCCTGTTGACCCAAACATACAATGGCCCTCCAATAGTTCTTTGTCCTGGGGTAAAGGTCCTCCAGTACAAAAGCCCCTCCTGTAGTCCCTGAACTTGGC